ACCACCCCCTAACCAAACAAGTCTCAAACCAACATTTTAAACCTTAAAAAATAGAGGTTTTAAGATGTTAAAACCAGCCTCCAAATAGCATGCAAAGGTGGCCAAACAATGAATCAAAACAAGGCTTAAAAGGGTTAAGTTCTCACCCTTGAAGCACAGCACTAAAACAGCAACACTTCTGAGCCAAAACCAAGCCTAAGACCTCAAACCAAGCTTCAAGGGACCTCAGCTCCAAGGTGAAGGTGTTTGGCTAAGAGTCTTAGTGAAAAAATGTAAAAAAAACTCACTTTCAAGCACAATATATATATATATAGAGAGAGAGAGAGAGAGTTCTAGAGAGAGAGAGTGAAATTTTGCTCCTCAAAATTCTGAACCCTCAAAATGGGGGAGGGACCTCCCCTTATATAGAAAAAGCAAACAAAAAGCTTGCCTCATCCCTCCATACACGTGTATGGAGGATGCATTCAATGATCAACAGCTGGCACAACTGGCACATAAAATATCTGAAAAATGAGAAAATTGGTTGTTGGCCACTTCAGGTGGCCGGCCGGCCATCTCCCCTAGCCGACCGACCACTTCAAGTGGCCTACAAGTAGGAAAAGTGGTCAACAATAGCCAAAAGTGGCCGGCAAGGCTCTTCTTCCCTCCAGGCAAGAGGCACCAAGGCTTAGCCAAAAAACAAGGCCAAAACACAGAGGGTTTAGAGGCTTAAAGACAAGGCGCTCAGCTGAGACCTTCGGGCGCTCAAAACGAGCACAAACATGCGCAATCATCGAGTGTACAAATGATGACGTCAAAGTCTTGAGGTTAGTTAAAAAAGGGGTGTCTAAACAGGCTGGTAGCTATACCAGACCGTCTAAAGTCGTACGAGCATGACAAACACTTAAGGAATTGCACCTCTAGAGGATTTAAGGTCTCCTAGAACCAGGGAGTGCACAAGTCAGTGCGATACAAAGCATGCACAAAGTAGCATGATACAAGGGATAGTGCGATGCGCAAGATAGCGCGATTGAATTGAAATGCACTAGACAGTGCGATGCGCTAGATAACGCGAATCAAATTAAGATTGTGTAGTAAATGCTCAAAGTGAGATTATTGTGCGATAGATGCACAGAGCGAGGTTATTGTGCGATAGATGCACAGAGTGAACAAGTGAACAAAATTAATACAGCGACAGCGCATGTTCCATGCAAGATAGATAACCAATGCATGATGTTAATTGAAAGCATTTTCTATGCCAGAAACAATATGCAAAATTGAAAGCATGCTCTCTGCAAGATACGAGAGCATATTCTATGCATAACTGAAAGCATGTTCCATGCGAAAATGAAAGCATATTTTATGCAAAATTGAAAGTATATTCATGAATTGAAAGTATATTCTATATATGAAACATGAATGATGCAAGACGTGGGTGCAACATAGTAGGTATAGTACACAAATACGTACGTATACATAGAAATACGTACATATACACATACATTTATGGACAAATACGAACAAAATATACACAAATACGTACACAAATACAGACAAAATACTCAGATACGTACATATGGCATACACATTTGGGGAATATTCTATTACTGATAAGGAATATTGTGTTTACGGATGTCAGCGAGCATATGCTGTTACTAAGACAGAATATTCTATTGGCTGATGTCATCCCGCGTAAGCAAAACACACAAAAAGGAAAGAAAACACAAATGTAGGGATACGGGGTTTCGAACCCCTAATCTCTAGTTTAGGCCTCCGAGTTCTCAACCATTGAGCCACGCCACTCTTGTGAGAAAATATTCAAACAAATATATATATAGGTATACGAGACATATATATATATATATATATAACCAAAACAAAACAAAGAAACACTTTTCGTGAGGTTCGAACCCCTGACCTCGGGCTTAACCTTTCAGTCCTCAACCATTGAGCTAAACCACTGAACCCAAGCCACTCTTGTGACCATACATCTTATGACCAAAAATTCAAACAAATATATATAATACATAGATGTACAATACATATACACATATATATACATATACCACTCTCTCGCCTCTCTCTCTCTGTTTTTGTCTCACTCTCTCTTCTTTCATCTTCTTCGAGCGTTGGTCGTGTCTGGCGCGCGATTTCAACAATCGCGACGCCTGACCGATAGGCTATCCAATCCTGCCCCGATTGTCAATGATCATCTCGACCTTTCTCCATCTTTGTCTTCTTTTTCGCTCTCTTCTTAAGTTGAGGCCTGCGAGAGAGAGAGAGGCAGAGCAAAAGCCTGCAGACTTTCTTCGCCACCACTTTGCAACCTCTTTCTTTTGCATTACTCTCCTCTGCCATGGCTTCTTCACACGGTTCTCTTACTCTTTTCCCAAACCTGAACGAGTCCACGATAGAGATGACCGATTCTGACTCCCCTGAACCACAACCACGGGCTCCTCCTTCTTCCCCTGTTTTCAGCTTTCCAGCGATGTCAATTGAACAAATAATGGTGGCACAGTCTGACATCGAAACAAATTCGTATACGCTGAGATCATGTGTGGAGACCGTGACTGTGGTCTCCAACTTGTTCCATCGACTGCAGAACAGGACGTGCGAGGTACATCAGTTAAATGCACAACTCTCCCTCCTCCAACGTATGTACAAAGACGCTCGAGTAGAAATTAGTGTGCTGAAAAAGCAGAACAAAGAGCTGAAATGACAGGCCACCTCCATGGCTCGATCCGGAGTTTCTTCGCACAACCAATTTGATGGCCAGTAAGGAATAATCTCCTTCGGAAGCTCTGCCAAGGCCGAGGTAGAGTCTTCAAGAGTTTCGAAGGAGTAAAGATGAAGCGAGGCAACTAATGGTAAAGTCAGGCAACGAAGCTGTGTACAAATGAAGCTGGTTGTAATCTTCGCCGCCAGGCTGCTGCCAAAGAAGAAAGAAGAAAAAGATCCCCTCTTTTTTTTCTTTTTTTTTTGTTGTTTTTTTTTTTATTTTCTGTTTTTTTGTTGCTTTTGTTTATTGTTTATTTTTTTTCTTTTATTTTTGTATGTATGTTTGCACAAATTTGATCGAGGTTAATCCCTACGAGTTTTTTTTTTCTTTCTCTTTTTGCAAATCCGAATGGTAATCAGTTCCAAACTAAAAATTAAGCCTCTCACTAAGTATAACACAAATCAAAACTCGACGAAATGACAAAACTTGATAAAATAGACACAAAATGGACATAAAATGGATGCAAGACAGAGCAATACCAATCGATCACCTGGTTGGACGCTCATCGAAAACGCATTCTGGCGATAAAAACTCGATAGTACGGGTATATGACAGAATATCAGCACACAATATAACAGAACAACTTATGAATTATCGGAACAAAACTGGTTTTATTATTTTTTTCCTTTGTAGTTTAAACATTAGCTTCAGATAGACTAGCTGTATTAGAAGACTTTTCTTTTGTTTTATTGCTTTGTAAAACAATAATCGGGGTTGGACCCACCAGTTTGGATGATCTCCTTGCATAATGTGTGATGAATGGCAGCATTGTACAGGACTTAAAATTGCGAATACCTACTCTTGCATTTGTTCTTGAATCAAATAATGACCCACAACCAGACAAATATGTAAAATGCAACTCGATAACAAGAAAACGAAATGAAAACAACTCGAAAATACTAAAAGACACTTGGTACAATCAGTTCTCAAAACATAGCCGCGACATGCCAGGACAGAGGGCCAGCTTTTGCTGCATCTGCACAAGTCTGGGCCACCACCTAGACCTGGCCGGGCTTCAAAAAGAGGTCGGTTAGTGTTGTTTATCTGTCATGCGCTGCTCCTTCTATGCCACTAGTTTATTGCTTCGACCTTTCTTTTCAAGTTTTTTTTTTTTTCGTTGATTGTAATAAAAGCAACTTTGATTTGTATTAGAGATTTGGAGAACTTTAAGTTTGAAATCAATGAAATTAAAGTTGTGAGCGCTAAAAATTTTCCTTTTGATCCAAAAAATGATCTCAGTTGTAAAAGGTAAAATTTGAACGAATCAACTTTTATCAAAACTTCTCAAAAACCATTTTCGAAAAGGATCACCACTTAACACGCACGGAATCAATCCTTAAGATATATAATGCTGGATCAAAAGATCATAAATGTCCCTTGATTGAATACCACTGCTCTGCATTGTACCCAACTCTTCTCTCAAAGTAAAGATCACAACCGAACCCTCAGGTAAAGAACAGACAAAGATGACTTGATCAACAAAATGGACAGGACAGTGGAGCTGGAATTGATTACGATCGAACTTCAGGATGAAGTTGCCTACGTATCCCGAAGATGGGAATCAGGCCTTACGTAGTTCGATTCATGTTCACTCGAGTATTAACTCTTTCATTTTGCGCTCTAACTTTTGCCAAGGTCGCCCTTTAGGGTTTTCAACCTTGCGAGCTCAGTTTTTCTTCATATTCTAATTTTTTATGCTCTAACTTTTGCCTAGGTCGCCCTTTCGGGTTTTCGGCCTAGCAAGTCTCTCAGGGATAGTATCTCCTCAACTTGTTCATGTTAATCGGTTGGAAAATTCCAGACCATCTAAGTCCATGAGAATGACTACTCCTCCTGACCAGATAGACTCACTACAAGAATTTACACATTTTGCGACCACTTTTGCCGACCAAAAAAATTTTGGTCGCCAAAAAATGACATTTGGCAACCAAATATCAATTAGTCGCGAATGATCATTAATTTTGGCGACCAAATATTATTGGTCGCAGAAGGTTATATTTTGGCGACCAAAAAATGAGTTGACCGCAAAAAGTGGTATGCTTTTACCGACCAACTACAAATTTGGTCGCGGAAGGTCACATATTTTTTGGCGACCAAAAATTTGGTCGCCAAAAACTTATTTTCAGCAATAAAAAAAAATTAGTCGCCAAATTATATTTTTAGCGACTAATATTTTAGTCGCCAAAATTACTTTTTTTTTTCCTCTTTCAAATCTAACCGTCCATCTCTCACCATTTCACTCACCTCATCTATAACAAACAAAAGAAAAAACCCTAATCGCTGTCTATACCTCACTCTCAGTCTCATCTCATCTCATCTCATCATTGTCTCTCTCACTCTCTCGTTTCGTTGTTCATCTTCATCTTCTGCACCGATCGGCGATCACTCTCATCTCATCACTGTCTCTCTCACTCTCTCTTTGTTCATATCATCGCACCGATCGTCTCACTCTCTCATCGCACCGATCTATTCACGGGTAAGCCTCTCTCTCTCTCTCTCTCACACAATCTCTGTCTCTCTCTCTCTTGCCCCGATCAAATGTGAATTTGTGTTCTGTGTGTTTGTTGGACCAACAGATCTAAATCTGTGTTCTGTGTGTTTGTTTTGGTCTGAATCTGTGATCTGAATCTGTGTTCTGTGTGATCTGAATCTGTTTGATCTTAGATCAAAGGTAAGAGTATATGTCTGTTATCTAAAAATCAAGGTCTGAGTTATGATTCTAGATTCTTTAGAGTGATTTTTTAAATGATTAGGATTTAAATCTGTAAAAATTGAAAATTAAATTTGAATGTTTGTGTGGTTTGTGTGTTTTGGAATTAAATTAAATTTAAATTGAAAATCAAGGTCTGAGTGTTTTGGAATTGAATGGTTTGTGCTTAAGGAATGGTTTGAATCTGTAACTACTACTCTTAGTTGTTTTATATTTTCAAGAATTCTGAATCAATCTGTTATGAAAATTAAAATTAAATCTGTTTTTGGAATTAATTTTTGATTTAACACATTCAATCTGTGATGAATATGTTTTTTAGGGCTGTTGATCACCAATATGAGGGTAATATCTTTGCCACAGATGGAGCTCAAGTAGATATATGGGATCATAATAGGTTTTGAAACTCTACTTGTTTTGATTCTTTTTAACTTCCTGAATTTTTTCTACCTTTACATGCTATTTTTTCTCATTGTAAATAGGTCCCAGCCTGTGAATAGCTTTGAGTGGGGAAAAGACATAGTTATATCTGTTCGATTTAATTCTAGGAAACCAAATATCTTGGCCACATCAGCTAGGTATGCATGGCATTACAATCCCAAGATTTAAGTGGATGGTTTGAGTTCTAAAATTGCATTCTGAATTTATAAATTTCAGTTATGTTGCACCTTGACAATTCTTTTATTGTTTCTTGCCCCTGTGTTCTACTCTAATCTGATGTACAAGTTTTATTGCATGCTAGATTTTTCTGTATTCAGTATGGTTTTTATAGCAGTATGCATTTTTGTTTCGGAAGGAAGAGAGTGTTGGGTGGCTGTTGTTGTTGTGTGGCTTTGCTTCAGTGGTTTCGTTACATGTGGCTTCTTAGCTGTTGTGTTGTGTGGGTAGGGCCTAGGGCATGTCCCCTATAAACTTGTAAATTTTTTTGTTCTATTTTATGTCTTATTCACCCAAAAAAAAATAAAATTCACCAACCGAAGCCAATTAGTTGTTCGCATTAGGCAATACCAGTGAGATTTTACTTCATTCTTTCCAAATGACCTAAATTTGAGCAAATATCAAAATGAGGAATCATTAAAAAGTGAGTATTTTCCTCAGCTACTTTATTTGGTAATTGGGAAACAGAGGATAGTCTATAAAAACCAAATCTTGAATCTTTTTTTTCTTCTATATTTTCTGAAATAATTTTTAGCTTTCACTGTGAATATTTCTTCTCCTCCTAAGTAGTTGCAACCTGCAAGGCAGTTCTATTATATTGAACAATTCTTAACCAAGATGAAATCATATTTTCAAATTCTAACTGCTCTAAATTTTTCTTGTTAGGTGAATATGAGCATTGCAATACTTCCATCTTCACAAGAGTTTAACTGGAACGGTGCAACAGCTGGTCTCATTCAGTCTTCCTTTTTCTGGGGCTATCTCCCCACTCAACTTGACTCAAACATTGGCAGTTTTTGCTTTTTAGAAAAGGCAATTTTAGAATTTATGTAAAACTCCATAAAAGTGCTTTTTCTGACTTCCACCACCCGCATATATGGTTCTAAGGGGTTTAAAATTGTTATTTTTTTTTTTCACTAACTCAGAACTAGCAATTGGTTCTAATCTTCAAATGTCATTTATATGTTGTATCAACCCTGATACTTGGACTTTTAGAATTGTAATGCAGATATATCTAGCGTGCACACACATACTCACACAACCCTTCTTGTTTATCACCTATAGTGGGTCTTGGTCCTTTTATCTGGAAACAATTAACAGTCACGATTTTGAATCTGTATGCTTCTGGCTGTCATCATCTAAGCCAGTGGTTGAAATTGTAATCCACATACTTTGGTGATTGTACATTTGAAATAGTGATCAACTCTTCATTGCTCTTGATGAGATATTGTCCTTCCATGTAATTTATTTATTTTTATTGAATAATTCTTGCCATCCTTCTTTACTAACTAGATTTCTTTTATATTTCTTTGGCAAATAGATTCTTGGAGGTATCTGGGAAAATAAAATTAGTGGGAAACTAGTATTGGGTTTTGGAGTGATCTGGTCGTCAGCTACAACAGTTTTGACACCTATTGCTGCCAGAGTTGGGCTTCCTTTCTTGATTGTCATGTGTGCCTTTATGGGGATTGGTGAGTTTGTGATACACTACTAGTATTGAAGTGCGACACCCATACTTTATGGTTTGTATCATATGCTAGAGCATGTGAGTAATACTGTTGAAATGTGAAAAGGGATTTGAAATTGACTATCTGACACCACGTGATATAAAAATTAATTGGCGAGTAAGGTACAAATGTGTAGATTGGAAGGGCCAAATGGTTATCACCTCTAATTGTTGATATTTGTAGATGAAATGATTTAATTTGTCAAGTTTCCACTTTTCAGGCCAAATGGTTTCCACAACAGCTGATATTCACACACTTTTCAGGTAAAATTTCTTTGTTCAGCTTTCCATTTTTTTAATTGGGGAGAACTTTTTTTTCTTCAATTATTCTTTTGTGCTTAGTTTGGTTGCTGAGAATGTATGTTAGAATTTTGGAATTCTCTTTTTCTCTTCGGAAACTAAATAGAGTGAAATCCTAGCATGGAAGAAAATGGAGAGAAGCATCACCAAGTTGAGATGTTTCTTGATTCAATCTTCCTACATACTGTATATAGGAACCATAGTCGAAAGTCAATATGGTTACTCTGTCTTGCCTTGAACCTATTGGTGGAATACTTAAATAATGGTATCATTAAAATCAAATGGTTCTTGTTGTCATCCCAAGAGTTGGACTCAACTCAAGTAGGCATGGTATCGTTTGCCTATTCAGAATTTCATTATTGGTTTTCTCTTTCTCTCTCACACACGGGCGTGCGTGTGCAAAAATAGAATAAAATAAAAATAAAGCTGCACCTGCACATAAGTAGACAAAACTGTGTTAAGACTCTTATCAGGGCATGAATCCAAATATGAAATGAGATGTTTATTAATTAATTCATATTTGGGGAAGGTGGTGTGGTCGTGATGTTCATTCATTAACAATGAGATGTTTTGGCAATATTTTGTCCTGTACGATAAATGGATAGATGTTGATTAGAATGTATTTGTATTCACGGGCTCCAATATATTTTTGCCCTGTAGCCCTTCTTGACTGAGGTTGGAGAAGATCTGGCTGTTTCCTTTACAAACCTGAGATGGAAAGCATATGCTGCCCTTCTTATACTATTCGTCCGAAGCCGAGTGATCTGGCTGTTTTCACCCTTGATTTCTCAGGGTCTGGACTATCTGGAGGAGAGCATGTCACATTAGGGTGGAATGAAGTAAATGGCTGAGCAAACTTAGAATAGTTAGAATGAAGTAAATGGCTGAGCATGTAACAAGTTATGTTTCAAATTGTTATGCTAGATAGATGTGACTTGTGAATGAAAATTTAGAATAGTTGTATTGTGTCGAATGTTAATGAATTATGTATTGTGTCGAATGTTAATGATTCAGTTAATTTGAATGATGCTTTATTAGGAATTACAGGTGTATTGTTTTCTTGCTTCGGCGACCAATTTAGTAGTCGTGACAAATAAATTATTTTTTTTTGCAAAAAATAACAATTGCCGACCAAGAGTTTTGGTCGCAAAAAATACATCTATTGCCGACCAAAACAGCTCTTGGTCGTGGAAACTCACTTTTGCCGACCAAAAGTTTTGGTCGCGAAAATTAACAAATGGCGACCAAAACGTTTTTTGGTCGCGGAATGTCACGATTGGCGACCAAAATTTTTTGGTCGCAGAATGTCACGATTGGCGACCAAAAATTTTGGTCGCGGAATGTCACCATTAGCGACCAAATTTTTTGGTCGTTGAATGTGATAATTGGCGACCAAACTTTTTGGTCGAGAAAATTTCACTTTTCGCGACCAAAGTGTTTTGGCGACAAAATAAATTAGTCGCGGTAATTAAATATTTAGCGACCAAAAATTTAGTCGCGAAATCCAACTTTTGCCGACCAATCACAATTTTGGTCGTGAATTACTTTTGCCGACCCTCAATTGGCGACCAAAGTAGCGACCAAAAAAATTAGTCGTGGATAACTTTTGCTGACCAAAAATTGACTTTTAGCGACCAATTTTTTTGTTGCCAAAAGTGGTAATTCTTGTAGTGACTTGATGATGTAAAGACCAGTCCAATTGGGTCTGAACTTGCCCCTAAGGTCATGAATGGGAGCTCGGTTGTCTTTGAGTACCAGATCTCCTTCCTTGAGATTCCTAGACTTAACCTTCTTGTTAAAAGCCTTAGCAATTCTGCGTTGGTAGCCCTGGACATGATATAATGCCTTCAGCCTTCTCTCATCAAATAGCATTAACTCCTCATATCTACTTTGTTGCCAGATGGCCTTTGCTATCTGACACTCAACCATTACACGCAGTGATGATACTTCAATTTTAATTGGCAGAACAACTTCCATACCATAAACAAGAGAATAAGGAGTTGCCCCTGTAGACATCTGGATTGAAGTTCTATATCCCCAAAGTACGAATGACAATTTATCTGGCCAGTCCCTATAAGTCTCAACCATCTTCTGTAAAATATGTTTGATATTCTTATTGGCGGCCTCAACGGCTCCATTGGTTTGCGGTCGATATGTAGATGACTTATGAAAAGCCACATTGTATTTCTCCAACAAGTTTATTACCTCCTTCTTGAAGTGGGAGTCATTATCTGATATAATCTCATTTGGGACTCCGTATCGACAAATGATGTTGTTTCTGATGAACTTAGCCACATGCGCTGCTTTCAACACTGCATAGGACTGGGCTTCCACCCACTTTGTAAAGTAATCAATTGCCACTAGAATGTATTCATGCTTGTTCAACCCTTTCGGTGTGACTGCGCTGATAACATCAATTCCCCAGACTGAGAAAAGCCATGGTGAAGTCATGTTATATAGTTTTGACGGCGGGATATTCATGCGATTAGCATGAATTTGGCATTTGTGGCATTGTCGAACAAAACCAATGTAATCCTCCTCCATAGTGGATCAGTAGTAACCTTGCCTGAGAATCTTTCGGGCTAACATCACTCCGTTTATGTGCGCTCCGCACTTTCTCCCATGGATGGCCTCCATTAGGTGCTTCGATTCCTCTTTCTCGACACACAACTTGTGCATTCCCAGATACCCTCTTTTGTATAGTTTGCCTCTACAGATGATAAATTGAACGGCCATTCACAGTATTCCCCATTTGTCCTTGGCATTTGCCCCCGGTGTATACGCCTCATTTTCCAAGAAGTTCCAGATATTGAAGTACCAAGGATTTTTGTCTTGCACTTCATCTATTACGACGATAGTTTCATAGGTCGGCGTGTATTTCTACTCAATGATAATCGGACGCATCCGGACTCCAAGTGGAATGTTTACCATAGAAGATAGAGTTGCTAAAGCATCAACGAACCTGTTGTTCTCTCTCAGTAGATGCGTGAAATTCAGCTTTTCAAACCTAGGAATTAGAACATCCAAGGTCTGGTAATAGACCTTCATCTTTTCTTCCTTGACTTTTCAGTCTCTATTTGCTTGAGAAACAACTAAGTTCGAGTTCCCGATAACATCCAACCTTTTTCCCTTAGTTTTAGGGCAGCTTCTAAACCAACCATACACGCTTCATATTCTGTTTGGTTGTTGGACACGTTGAACCGGAGTTTGAAAGCTAGAGGTATGTGGGAGTTGTCAGGTGCTATCAGCAACACACCGATCCCATAGTTGTACTAATTTGATGCTCCATCGAAGTAAATTGTCCAAATATCCTCCTTAACTTGCAGAACGACTTCATCTGCGAAGAGGTATTCTACCGCTTCGTCTCCTTCTACCGGGTGATCTGCCAGGAACTCCACTACCACTCTCCCTTTGACCGACTTGCGAGTAACATACTTCAAATCAAATTCGGAGAGAAGAAGCAACCAACAGGCTAGCTTACCCGTAAGTACTGGTTTCTCAAAGAGATATTTGATGGGATCTAATCTTGAAACCAGAATTACAGAGTAAGCTAACAAGTAGTGCCACAATTTCCTAGTATCCCATACCAAGGCCAGGCAAGCTTTCTCTAGTGAGGTGTAGCGGGTCTCGTAATCCAACATTTTCTTACTCAAGTAATAGATGGCTTTCTCCACCCTATCCTCAAATTCCTAAGCAAGCATGCATCCCATTGTGGTGTCTATTACTGACAGATACAGAATCAAAGGCTTCCTGGCTCTGGCGGCGACAACACAGGTGGATTCTGAAAGTACTGCTTGACTTGCTCAAAAGCGAATTGACATTGATCATCCTATTGAAATTTCTTCCCTTTCTTCAGGAGACCAAATAGTGGTTCACAAGTCACGGTTAATTTGGAGATAAACCGTCTTATGAATTGCACTTTACCCAGAAAGCCTCGTACCTCATTTTCAGTCCTTGGTGGTGGCATTTCTAGGATGGCCTTGATTTTGGAAGGATCTACCTGGATGCCTCTCTATGTGATCAAAAATCCCAGCATTTTCCCTACCGTTATGCCGAAGGTGCACTTCTGCGGGTTTAACCTCAGTCTGTATTCTCTGATCCGTTAAAAGAATTTCTCTAAGGCAGTGTAGTGGCCCTCTCTTTCTTTGGACTTGACAATCATGTCGTCCACGTACACCTCGACCTCTTTGTGGATCATATCTTGCATAATGTTGGTTGTAACCCTCTGATAAGTAGCCCCAGCATTTTTCAAGCCAAATGGCATAACTCGGTAGCAATACATTCCCCACGGCGTAGTAAATGCAGTTTTCTCTCTTTCTTCGGGAGCCATCAGAATCTGATTATACCCGGAAAACAAATCCATGAAGGAAAGCAATGCATGGCTTGCGGTGAAGTCTACCAACTCATCAATATGTGGTAGAGGAAAGTCATCCTTCAGACTGGCTTTGTTTAAGTCCCGAAAGTCTACACAAACCTGAATTCTACTATCCTTCTTCAGCACTGGGACGATGTTGGCCAACCAGGTTGGATACTCAGGTACTAACAAGAAACTTGCCTCGATCTGTTTGGTGACCTTTTCTTTGATCTTTAATGCCCAATCCGGGCAAATTCTACGCAACTTTTGCTTGACTGGTTGGGCCTCAGGGTCAAGAGGGATCCGGTGC